ATAATATAAACATTTTATATATAAAATATTATTATATTCTAATAATACATCATTATATTAGAATAGATTGGAATATTGATAATACATTTTCCGCTATACAATTTCATGCAATAACGGGAAACTCCCAGTATGATTCAAAAATACGTATATAAATACATTCATCATCAAAATTAATGTAAAACTAATCATATTATTATCATCAATTATTTTCAATTATTTATTCTATACTTATCTCTCAATTTTTTTTATTCTATTTTAAATAATTTTATTGCAGAAATATTTTTAAAGGTTTTAAATTTTTAAGTCTAATTATTTCGGAAAAATCAAATAAAAAAACTTTTGACTCTTATGATTTACTTGAATAATGTATAATAATATATATATACTTATATGTATATATATATTATATATATTTTTTTTACATATGCTTTTTTATATTTATGATAATACATTAATAAAAATTTATAATATTAATGTAATCCAAATTATTTTTAAATTTTTCATCTATTTTTGTTGCAATCATTTTTAAATTGTTCTTAATTAAGTAATAAAGAAATGGTAAGATATCTATAACTATTTTCATTCATTCTGAAAAATAGAAAAATATTCGAATATGAGCCATTATATATCTATATTGTACTATTACATAATATTTTGTGTTATTATGGTGCTATTAATGATATCAAGATACTTGAATAATTTTCATTTATCCATAATTAATTAATTAATTAATTTCTATTTTCTTAGAAATTCATTTCATTTTCAGGAAAAAAAGATTTATCACTTATCCTACCAGTTACTATCTTGGAAATAAGGGGGGGATATACAAAAGTGATGTGTAAAGAGAAATACGAAGCAGTTGAGAAACTTACGGAGTAGTGAAGGCATGTGTTGATTATCGTCATAATTTTTATTACCAATAACAATGTTGATTATAATGTTTTTATATTTTCTATGCAATCCGATTTTTTGCAATACACAGGACGAAGGTAAAAGAAGTAGTTTTTTAATACACAATAAATAAAAAGATATAAAAATTAAAGATTGTTATATATTAATACTAATATAATTGATGATAATATAATCTAATGACATTTAATATGATATTTAAAATTATATTTATAAATGATTAGTTTTATTTTGTTGTTATCGAAAATATATTCTTGGAAAAATATTAATTTTTTATTTAATTTTTTATTGATTCAATAAAGTTTTATAAATACAGAATTCTAATATTCCGATACATATAAAAGAGGATTAGATATTAATATTAAAACAAAATTTCGTTAAATGGATGTAATAACATTTATTTATAAATTATATTTTATATATTTTTTATATATTATATGTATATATACATATATATATATTATGTATATATATATACATAAAAATATATTTTTTTAAATAATTTTAGGAATCTTAATTGAGAAAAGTTAATAAGAGAAAATAAAAAATAAATACAATGAATTGCATCATAAAGTTAATTAAAATTTTTTTTATATACTCATTGTTAATGGATATTCATATATATATATAGTTCTTTATATTCATAATTCTTATTTAATATTTAATATCTTTTCCAGACGAGCCATGTATCACTAATAACAATTTGCCAGGTATTTGTAAACTTCTTCAACAATGTCCTTCAGTTTATGAAAATTTATTAAAAGGATTAAGTTCACATAAAATATGTGGATATCTTAATTTTGATCCTGTTGTATGCTGTCCAGACATAAAAAAAATATCTACAACTACAATTAGAACTACAACAACTAAAAAAACAACTGCAATTACAACTTTTCTACCATTTACTGCAAAGATGAAAACAAAAGCAAGTATGTATTTTATATATATGTATAATTTTTTAAATTCTAAATTCTTTCAAAAATTTTATGTTGTAATCCATTATAATAATAATTTCAGAATGTGAAGAATACAGTAGATACGTATACACGACCGAATATCCACCAACTTTAATAAACAATAAAAAACCTGTAAATAAATCTTTGTGTTACATTAAAGATCGTACACTTATCGTCGGTGGTACAAAAGCTGAAGCAAAAGAATTTCCGCATATGGCTGCAATTGGATTTGACACACTAGATGGCATTGTTTGGGCATGCGGTGGCACATTAATTTCAGAAAGATTCGTTTTAACCGCTGCACATTGTACTTTTAACAGAAACTTGTATATATTTTGATTCTCATTTCAATATTATTATTCAAATTATTATTCAAATTATTATTATTATATAGTTGTTAGTTCTATAAATATTAGTATTAACAGCAAAATTAGTAAATAATAATTATGTAATCGTTATATAAATATAATATATAAATTCAAGTATAACTTTTTATAGGAATAGCACTGCAAATTGGGTACGATTAGGTGATTTAAATCTCGAGAGATCGGATGATTATGCAAAACCAGAAAATTTTCGTGTCATTGAGCGAATAAGAAATCCTCATTATAAGCCACCATCACAATATCATGATATCGCGCTTCTTAAATTAGAAAGTGATGTGCAATTCAATGCGTGGATAAGACCCAGTTGTTTACCGTATTCTTTACCGGATAGTGGCCTTGATGGTAAGGCAACTGCAACAGGATGGGGAGATGTTGAATGGCGTAAGTACAATAATTAAAAAAAAATCTTATTTATTTGACTAAAATAATATTCGATTTTAATTTAAATTTTTTTCAAGACGAAAGCGGTTCAAATGATTTATTAAAAGTCACAATTAGTTTGGTATCTCAACCAAAATGTAATAAGTTATTCATCGGAAATGAGAAAAACAATAAACTCAAATTCGGAATCACAGAAGATTCGCAAATCTGCGCCGGTGAACTTGGAAAAGATACTTGTCAGGTAATAATATTTTAAGAATAATATAGTACATAGAAATATAAAATTTATATCTATTGCGATTATAGGGAGATAGTGGTGGACCACTTGTCATCTTAAATCGAGATTACGATTGTATGTATACTTTAATCGGTGTAACGAGTTTAGGGAAGCTTTGCGGTACCATTATTCCTGGTATATATACTCGCGTTTATAATTATATTTCATGGATAGAGAATATAGTTTGGCCAGATTTATAATACAAATGTAAAATAAATACATTTTTATATTAAATTGTAATATTTATGTATTTTATTTTTTTATAGATTTACAAATATATTTATATAGAATACAGATATTTGTACATTTTATATAACCAAAATTATGCATGTTAAATATATACTCATAATATTTCAATGTAATTTATGATTATATTTTATTTCAATATTTTTTTTTGTCTTTTTCGAAAAATAGAAATATTTTTAATATTCGTAGCTATAAAAATTACTAAAAATTATTATAGAATTTTTCATATATACTTTTTTCTGAAATGGATACATATTTAAAATTATGCAGTATACAGTTATTTGAATTTTTAATATTAGAAATAATTTCTATTATTATACAATATTCTATTAATTCTATTATACAATAAAATATATCGTAATATAAAATTCAATTGATAATGAAGCAAATTGATAGTGAATATTTTAATATTAACTATTAACTTATAAGAATATTGATACAAGAATAAAAACTTATATTATATATACATATATTTTTTAGATCTGTTCGTGCATAATTATCTGTTAAATGAATCTTGTAAAAAGAAAATAAGATAACCTTGTCATATTTATTTTTTCTATGATTCAATCAATCATTATTAAGGAAAAATTGAAATTATAAAAGAACAGATAAAGAAAGATATTAAATCAATAATTAAAGAAACTACATAGCAATCAATAAAGATAGAAATGAATTTGAAACATTAAGCTATAATGTTATAATAATTGATATTATCAATAATGATATTGTTAATTTTGATCTTATTTTTTTTAACTGAATTTTGCTATAAAACAAATTAGAACAATTCTAATAATTCTTTCGTGTGATTGGTAAAGAAAAGATTTAAGAAAATATAATATTTAATATTTTATATATTTGAAATAAAAAAGATAAAAGATTCGAGTAATGAAAATGATTTTAGTCTAATAATAAGAAAATAAATTTATCGTACTACAATAGAAAATAAATAAAATATCAATTTATATATATTATATATATATTTGTACTTTACAACAGAAATCATTAAATGCATATGAAACATAATATAAAAAAAAGAAATGTACAATTTCCTCTTAAGACTGATAACTTAACGCGTGTACATACTAATTCGTTATATGATATAAATCAGAGTTACGATGAAAAACTTGATACTATTATTACTACTACCACCACCATTATTATATTTTCCGAATCTGGGATGTCAAAGCAGCACAAAGTAGATATTTTATAATAAATATTATAGAAATTTGAAGATTGTGACATTTACTTAAGCATTATTTTTAAAAAAGAATTGTTTTTTTATCTTATTCTATTTTATATCTTTTATTAGCTAAGATCATTTTCTTTTTTATTTTAGAATTCAGTATTTAAAAAGAAAACATAATAATAATTATTTTATTAATTATTAATTATTATTTAGAATATGAAGAAATTCGAAACAGTATTTCGAATTTATTATCAATGGTACAAAATCAGTAATCGAAGAATTCACATTTATAACTGCAATTAGATTTCGCGGTTCTAAAGAAGAAGATATTATCTGGCGATGCAGTGATTTCCTAATTTCAAAATAAATTTTGTCACAACTGCAGCACACTGTATCTACAATCGTAACTATTAAAGATTTATCTAGCCATTTATATCAATATTAATTTATAATTTCATCATAGATATTAAAATATTGATCTCCAATTTTTAAAGATATCAGAAATAACATTTCTTTATCCTTAGTAGTAGAATATGATATTAAAGTTTGATCATTTATTTCTTTGATACATTAATTTATGATAAATATTAATTTCCTATATGTATTAATTTATCTCATTTATTTAATAATAAATAAGTATTAGATTAATATTTGTTGTATAATAAATTCGTATAATAAATAGTATTCATATTTCTTTATAAAAATATTAAATATTGATAATTTATAAAATTTTTTTTTATATTAAATAAACTCGATAAATATGTTTGTTTCTCTAATGTATTTGAATGAACTTGCATAATATAATATGTCTAATTAAAAATAATTTTTTGCAGGAGAAATGCAATTTGGATACGATTAGATAATTTAAAGAAATCAGATAATGATAAGATGCAATTAATTTTTGAATTATTGACAGAATAAGATTTCATATAAACCACCATCTGAATGTCACAACATCGTGCTCCTTAAACTAGAACAAAATATAATATTTAATCAGAAAATGTTGTTGTTTACACATTCCTTATCAGATATTGGTATTAATGATAAAGCTATGCAATGGAATAGGGATGAATCGAGTAAATTCATAATAAAATTCATTTTCTATTAATATTAATAAAATATAATAAAATAATAATAAAATAATTTTTTTTAGATGAAGATCAAGTGATTTGTTAAAATATTGGATATCTCATTTGAAATGTAATCATATATTCACTAATAGCGAAAAGGACAATAGATTCGAGTTTGGAATTGTGAATAATTGGCAAATTTATACTGGTGAACTTAGAAAAGATACTTGTCAGATATATTTTAAAAATAATATAGAAGAAGTATTAATTAATATTAAATTTATTATATATATATAGGGTGATAATGGAGAATTTCTAGTTATCTTAAATGAAATAATATGTACAATTTAATCAATATAACTAATTTAGAGAAAAATTGTGGTAACATTATTCCTGGTATATATGTTCGTGTTTATTATTATATTCCATGTATAGAAGATATAATTTGGCCGGATTGTCTAAAAACTAAAAAGAACATATAATTTTATGCTCAATTTTTCTTAAAAATATCATGTATTAGATTGTAAAAAATTAGATAGATTGTAACGAGAATTTTTAATAAATACATTTTAAAATTTACTGAATATTTGATTTTTATTAATTTTGATATAAGTATTTAAGGCAAAAGCTTTGGATAATATTTTGCATTGATGCGAAAAGACGCGCAAGCGCCAATTGGTAGAGTTTACTTAGTTTTCGTTACACTGTGTACGTGTGCAGTTAAAAATCAAGTGATCATCTATTTTCATTTGTCTAGAAGCAATTGCTCTCGAGGTAAGAATCGTTTCATAGATTGATTGTTTTATATAATGCAAAAGTGCATAAAATGAATAATGAAAAATCCAACATACAATATAAATATATTACTAAAATTAAAAACTAATTGTTCTTGTACTTAACTTATAACTTGAATATAAATAGCATCAATATTATCAATTTAAGAGAAAAATATTCATCAGTTAAAAATTCATATGATTTTACATTATTGACACTTGCACAGTGATTCAATGTCTGCCATTCTCGACGCATGTGGAAATGATACTGGATCACCCTCAATATCAAAAGCTGAGGATAATTTATCCAATAGTGACGGACCGTTAATTAAAAGCTGTATTCGTCAAAATAGTTGCAGTAGTGTTCATATAAGGTGTAATAAAAATTTCATATTAATAATCGAATCTGTAATATTTATTATAATAACAATCATTATTTTAGTTGCGAGAACGTTAATCGAACAATTGTATCATCTCACATCATGTCAGCATCTAACAAAAAATTAGCTAAAAGACGCTATTGTCTATGGACCTTAACTTTTATTCTAGCAATAATTGGATTATGCAATCTCTTCCTCAATATTACCGTGATTGCTGTTTTGCGAATCAATCAAGGGATGGAAGCGATGGAAATGATACCCGATGAAAATCTTGTAAAATTTTATGGAAAAACTGACTTAGATAAGGTCAGATATTAAAATATTTCAGAAATATTTTTATATAATTATATAGATAATATATTCATATATATAGATATGCTTGCAATCAGGAGTTTGTCAAAGTTACGGAGATGAACCAATGGAAATCTCTGGTGACGAAGCAGGTGTACAAATAGATGTAAATAATCAACGATCATACGAAGAAACACGCGCTAAAATGATGATTTTATCAAATGGTACCACTATATCAAAAATAGAATCTTTCGAAGTAAAAGATTTTAAAACTGGGATTATTTACTTTACTACTGATTTTCCAAATTTCGGTTTGCCTGTTGGAGTGGAAAAAATTGATGTGAAAATTGCAGAAACGCATAGAATCACATCACCAGTTAATGAAAGTCTCATTGTAAATTCCGACGATCAAATTTCTATGCAAGGAGCAGAAGGTGCCAGTATAGAAAGCAAAAATATCATCTGGAGCGCAGATACAGATATTTTTTTAAAAAGTGTTAATGGAAGCATTATCCTTGATGCTAAAGACGGTGTTTCTATTGATACAAAAAATATACCAATAACACCATTGTTTTTACAAAATCCATCTGGTCATGAACAATATAAAGTTTGCATTTGTATGCCACAAGGAAAACTCTTCAAAGTACCGATTCGTGCTAACAGTCGATCAATAAGCTGTGCTCGCATCAATCGAACTCCAGAAAATGATCCTTGTTTGCGATAGAATCAAACATGTATTTGAATTTTTCATTCAATTTTATTAAAATATTTAATACTGCCAAGTACACGAAATTAGAAATCTTGATTTGACACTCGATTTACGATTTGAATAATCAAATTAGCAAAATATTTTAAATCTTTAATTAATAAAATATGTATTTTTCCGGAAATTTGGAAAATAATATAGAATTGAATTATATATTTTACCACTAATATATACATATAATTCAGACTTTATTCGAGATATTACGTACAAATTCACACATAATATCATTATGTAAAAACATTGACATTAGTTAATATATTATTGCTAATAAAAAATCATACATTTTTGAAATTTGTGTATAATACTAAATACATCAATTTTTGTATCAGATACTCAAGATTATCAATAAAATTATAGAAAATAGTACAAAATTCTCGACATTTCATAGGACTATGAATGAAAACATAATTATGTTAAATAAAAAAAGTTAAGCACTTTCTGTTATCATTTCTTCATTGCTTTCTTCCATATCTTCTTGTTGTTCTTGTTCTGTAGGAGGTTCGTATACCTTGTCTAAAGGACTAGCAACAACACCACCTGCCCACACACTCATTTCTACAGCAAGTTTATTGGTACCCTCAAGTAATGGTCTATAGCCTCCATGACCCAAGACACGTAATAATGTTTGAGCTGTGAGACATACCAAATCTTGTTGTTCTAATGTCATGGCTGTGTGTACACGTATATTACCACCCTCGCATGGATCAGAAATACCTTAATAAAATCATGACAAATATTATATAATATTATATAAAATTTATTTATAAAATATTATTACATTAAGATATAATAATTTTTACCAGCAGATCCTGGAAGGAAGAGTCCAGAAGCAAGTAATTGAAGTACTCTTTTATATGCTTGATTTATTGGCAATGCTTGTCTACTGGGATTATTCATTATAGCATTGTGTGCTAATAAATCTAACATCCAAGGAGATAATGGCTCTAAACCTTCAAATCTACTTCTCAAATCTCTAAGTAATCTTATTAAAACTTTTATACTGGAATGATGAGCATTTTCTTCAAACCATCGGGAATGTCTAATTGCAGCAAGATGACCTTGACATATTTTTACATCTAAATGCTGGTCAGATTCTAATTTTCTTAAATTCTGATGTAAAGTGGTAATCAGTACACGTACTGTAGCTTCATTATTAGCAATATCAAAACCACGCTCTGTATGAGTAAGTCTAAATATTTCTTTGGGATTAACAGTTTTTAAATCATTATTAACTTTTGTACCAAGTGCTTCCACAGCTGTTTTAGTAGGTAATGTTTTGAGGATCACAACAATATCAGCTACATTATGGCCTTTGATCATAGTTCCTTTTTTAAAGCTACCTACTTGTCTCACTTCTTCTAATTGCTAAATAATAATTATCATTAATAAATAAGAAATATAACCTGTACAATTAAAAATTATAAAAGAAATTTATATTTACACAAGCTTCAAAACTGCCTGGAGCAACTATTAAATTGTCAAGTACACTCTGTAATTTAGTTACTAAATTTAAAATAGAAGTTTGTTCCTTTGGTGTAGGACACATGTCTGTATTCTTTTTTAAAAGTGCCATTTGAAAATCTGACTCATCTGGCGCTGATTTAACACGCGGAAATGCAGCTTCGCATAAAGTATAGTCAAATGGATGACGTGGAAGGAATTGTTTTCTAGGAAATCCCATTCCACGTCCCATACCACCACGACCTCCTCTAATCATTCCACCTCGACCACCTCGTACCATATTATGTCTAATCATAGGAAGAAAAGTATTCAAAAGTATTCTAGAAACATTTATTGCAATATATTAAAATATTTTTAAAAATATCAAAGATACTTTCAATAATGAATTCTATAAATCTTTAGAGATCTATAAATGAAACAATAAATTAACTGCAATATAGATTAATGATATGAATTAATAAATTATTTAAAAAGAATTAACCTAAATATTTTCCGATTGTAACACTATTATTAATTAATAATTATCTAAGAATTTTTAAGGTAGAAATATAATAAACTTACCAAAAGATAGAAAAATAAATTTAAAATATTATTTTAACTTTTATCAATAATTTTCATTCACAATACAAATTTTATTAATACAAATTTTAATTAACTGCAAGCAACATTAGACACATCAAAACATTAATTTAGTAAATCAAGATATTCTACTGAAACATATATGAACAACATCTTAGCGCCATCTAGGTAAAACAATGTTTAAAAAATAAAAATTTTTATATAATATTTATTGAATAAAATAAATACTATGAATAAATAAAAAATTATTATTATAATAAAAATATTAAACATTAATTATCTATAAAATATATGGCAAATTGATAATATGAATGATAATAATCTGCATATATTTCATGCTATATAATAATTATAATTTTCGTTTTTATTTTTTATAAAAAATACACAAAATAATTATTAAGTGTATTTTTAATTATTACAAAATATTATTTTTTTTATATTAATAAATTAACTAATTGATTAAATTTTGTTATACTGTATATAACATATGAAATAAATTTAAAAATTACATATACAAATTTAATCATAATAAAATTTCAATTATATATATATATATATATATTATAACTGTAGATATATTCATTCTAAATTAATAGAAACATCAAATACCAAACCAATAACCATTTTTCATCCCTCATACACCTCATAAATTTACAAGTATAATAATAACACAACTTAAATGGAACTGGAAAACTAAACTATATACATTTTATTTATCATTCATCTTTGCTTCATTTGGCCAGAATGTCTAAAGTTTCTTTAAAATCAAAAACACTCAGACACCGTAGGAGGTATGTATAAAACATTTTAACAAAAATTTTATTTTATACTAACTATATTACTTTTTTCTTAATAGAAAAGTTCCTGAAAAAAAGATGATTATAAAACCATATGGCTTTTGTTGTTCAATTGATGATGTTGATCCATTAACAAAATATGATAAACTAAAATCATATAAATCTTCATTGATATCTTTACATGCAATACATGAAAGTCCAACTTTTAAATTTCGAACAGAATTCACTGATTATATAGATCATGAAAATGCTTTAAAAAAGAAAGCCAAATATATAGATGTTGGAGATTATAAACGTAAAAATTATAAAAGAAATAAACAAAGTTTACAAAATATGAAAGGTTTAAAAAGATTATATGAAAAAAAAAGACCATTTAATAAATCTAATGGTTTTGAAGACTTACACGATGAAAAACTTGCATATCGTCTTCAAGGACCAATGCAATGGTATCTAGAAGATGAAATTAATTCAGCAAAAGATATATTTTGGGAACAAAAAATAAGAAAATATAACGAAGAAATGGATAAAAATACTAAAATTGGAAAAAAGAAAAGTAAATTTTAATTTAATTATTATTTCTATAATTAGTACAATAAAACCTAAAACCTAAAAACTTCATAATTTTTTTTTAGTAATGCTTATGATGAAAAAGGAAACAGATATGTATCCTCGATGGTATCAAGATTTTTCTATTAATCAAGTATAATTTTTATTCTTTATCAATTAAATATAATATTAAATCTTGATTAAAATATTTTCAAATTTATTTATATATATATTAATTTATAGATAAAAAATTTAAGAATGTTACAATGTATAATGCATAAAGATTGTGAAGAAATGGTAACAGGACGTACTCAAAGAACACTTATATCAATTGGAATCGTATCTACATTTTTCACACTAACATCAGATGCTATTAAGAAATTGCAAGAATCTTCTAATTGTAATGTAATCGAATTTTTAAGAGAAGTTTATAAAATATTAACAGGAAATTATTTTGAAGAAGAAGGATATAGTATGCTGTGTCTATACTTTTAATTTATTTTTTTGTATTTTATATCTTTATATTAATTCTATTTTTAAATTTTAGAAAAATTTTATGATTGTAACGAAAGAATAATCTTATCAGCTATTGCATTTTTAACTTTACCAGAAACTGTTATAGAACTACATAAACGTTTGCCGCCTATAACAATGCCAAAATTATATCCAAAACGTAATATTTTCTTATTAATTTGTTCATATAATTTATTTATATTTCTCATTAAATTATTCATATATATTATTAATTTAATATTTTATTATGTATTAATTTATTATTTTTAATATATTTATAATATTATTATTAATTTATTATTTTATTATATATTATTTATATAGCTACTGCGCCAGTAGTATCAATAAGACAGAAAATGAAATCGCCCTATGAAGAAGAACTTTTTATGGGACCAGATTGGAGTACATTTTATAATCATTTACAAGATTGGCAAGAACAACGTAAATTAACGCCATTGCCAAACGTAATATTACCTCCTAAAGAATGTATTTTAAATATAAAAAATGTAATAACCAATCCTTATTACAAAGAAATTAAACACAATAAAGTACAAAACAATCCTGAAAATAGTCAATTAATTCATATTAAAAATAATTTTCCCCCTGTTCATATGACAAAAAAAAAAAATGTTTCTAAAACAAAATCAAATTCCCAAAAAGAAAGAAGTATTGTTAAAATTAATAAAAAACAAGAAGATAAAAAAAAGAGTAATATTATTCATGACATAAATTCTGTTGAATTACATCAAGATCAAACTTTTAAAAATGAATCAAACTTTTATAATGAAAATAATGAAGATGAAAAATTAAAAAAAATAATAAATTCTCCAATAAATATGCAAAAAATACAAAATGATTCACAAAAATTTGGTGGCCTTAATGTTCCACCTTTGTATGAAAATACATTATTTGATTTTACAATCAATGGAATTTCTGAGAAACCAGGACCGATAGAATATAAAATATGTGGAATTTTACAACCACCACAACCAAATAAAAAATCTTGGCTTGATGAAAAACATGCACATTATATAATAGCTGGTGCTTCTGATGAACCACCAACTTGTCCTGTAACATATGAAATGACTGGAGTTGCAAATGTAGTACCTTCTAATAGCGATGAAAGATTTTTTGCAGTATTGAAACTTGGAGATGGACCTAAAAAGATTTATCCAAGTGGTAGAAAGAATTTATCTCGTCATTGGCAAGAATGGTTGCAAAATGTAGATGAAGAATTTCGAAAAGTAGAAAGAGAGGCAAATAAAATGATAAAAAATATAGAAGCTATAACGAAAGTAGTATTTCCAGGACCAAGCTGTGATAGCTGTTGTTCTTGTAGACAAACTAGAAAATCGTATTTTAGAACAAAAGAAACGAAAGCACCTTATTTTGTAATAGATACTATAGCTGAAGATGATAATAAAAATAAATATATTGTAGGATCAATGGCAATGCATTCTCCTGCACCAACTCCTCCAGAATCAACTGTAAACTTATTAGAAGTTATAGCTTCAGAAGATGTTCTTAAAACAAGTTTAATAATAAATGGTATTACAACTGAAACAGGTAAAACGCAATATTATATTACTGGTGCTCAGGAGGATTTAATACGCGTACCTGGACGAGTTGTAGAGCCACATCCACCTAGGCCACCAAGAAATGTTCCGCCTTGCATATGTGCAATTCAACAAATGTTTAATAAAGGTTTGACTTCAACTTTGAGTCATGATAATATACCATGGACAAAAGAAGATGGATTATGCTTTGGACAAAAATTTAGACCCCAAGAATTTCCTGCATATTCTTGTAAGAAATATCCCGGTGATAAATCATGTAGAAGAAGTCCATTTATTAATGAAATAATTAGATTACAAAAAAAAGCTGAAAGAAAAGAAAAGCAAAAAACCGAAGCTCCAGAGGAAAAGAAAATGTATAGTATTGCAGATTTTCAACCATGTGGAGATGAACATGGTATGGGTATTTGTGGAGCACCTTGGGGTACTTTGCATACTTTAACACCAGAAGAATTAGCAGAACAAGAAAAATTACGAAAAGAAATATTAAGAGTACGTTTTATGTTTATGAATTAATTTAATTATAATTATATTTATATAAGTGTTATAAATTAATTTAATTATAATTATAAGAAATTATAATTATAATTATAAGAAATAATGATAAAAAATTATAATTAATAATATTACAATATATAATAAAATCATATTATTGTTTAGAGTCCTCCATGTGGAACAAAACCTGGTCAAGCTGTTTGTGAAGGTCCTTTTGGAACACGAATACCAAAACGGGACATAGTTATAGAAGAAGAACTAGCAGGAGAAGAGGAAGAAGTTGAAGAAGAAGAAGAAGTATTAAAGGAAGCACCACCTCCTGTCAAAAAAGAAAAAGAAAAGAAACGTGACGAGAAATGTTATATGAGTCCGCAATCCATAGAAATTAGAAAAAAAGAAAAGGTTGTGGAAAAGAAAGTTAAAAAATTTATTCCTGATCCCACTTATCATGGTTATGATGATCCATGGAATATATTTCGTACAGCACCAACAGAAAAAGAATCTGAAACTGATTTTAAAACATTATTAAAGCTTAGTTCTCCAAAACCACCAGCAACGCCCGTACAATCTAAAATATTAGTAGATGAAACTGAAAAAGTTGCATTAGAGAAAAATTCTAAATTAGATACTAAAAAAGAAAATTTAAAAAAAATTTTTCTAAAAGACAAAAAAGAAAAAATTCCTACGAAAAGTATATCTCAAATTGAGGAAAAACATGATCAAGAAAAATTTAAAAGCGAAAAAGTAAGTAAATCTCAAAGTTTGAAAAAAGAAAAAATTTCGAAAAGTATATCTCAAATTGACGAAAAACAAAGTGATCGAGAAAAATTTAAAAGTGAAAAAGTAAGTAAATCTCAAAGTTCGAAAAAAGAAAAAATTTCTATATCTCAAATTGCGGAAAAACAAAGTCGAGGAAAATTTAAAAGCGAAGAAAAAAATGAAACAAAAACACTTGATAAAAAATCAATTTCAAGCGTAAAAACTAAAAAAATGAATGATAAAGTATTACAAATTAGTATGAAAAAGGATAAAACAAAAGATCAAAATCTTTCAAAATCAAATAATAAACACAATCAAAAAACGAATAAAAATCCTTCATCTTCGAAATATTTAGAAAAACAAAACGAAAATCCTAAAAAACCTATATCTAATAAAGAAATATCTTTAATACATGATGATCAATTTAACAAAACATTTCAACAAAAGATACATAATGCAACAAATTATAAACAAGACAAGAAAAACAAAAATTCGAATAAATCAAATAAGCCAATTTTATTAGCAAATAAAAACAAACAAATAAAGAAAAAAAAATCAAATAAACAATCAAATTTAAAATCGGTAAGACGAGATAAAAAGAAAGATATATATATTGATCAGGATATAGATCCTGAAACAACTTATAAAAATAAGATATATGAATTGAAAAATATGTTAAAATCTTCTGAACTCTATCCTTATGATGTTAAACCAGTGGATATCCCAGATGAACCCCCAGCAAAATGTCAATTAGAATATGACTATGATATAGAACCTGTAATTGATACACAAGATGAAACAGATGCAGATATACAATTACCAAGTAAAGGTCCTTGTGGATGGAGGACAAAATCAGAGCAAAAATTGCCAACTAAAAAAACTTTAGTATATCTCAGTGAACCAGACTATCCTCCAGAAACAGTACCAGTAAGACCAGGAGGAAAACCATGTATTTGTCGGGAAAATAGAGCGAAAAAAAAAATATTATTATATAATATTGGAGGAAATATAGGTGGAAAAAAAGATGATGAAGAAAAAAAATTATTAAAAAAAAAAAAAGAAGTAGAAGACAAAAAGATGCAAGTTATAGATGGTGTCATTTATTATACCCCACCACCGAGTCCCCGTAGAAGTGACGAATATGTACCTGAATATGATCTTTATGATTCCCCTTATGATATGTGTCTTACTCAACGTAAAGATCAAAACCTAAAATTTTTCGAACAATATAGTACACCTAAAATATCGGAAGTTTCAAAAAATAAAGAATCTTGTGGTTGTAGTCGATATATAGATACATATGGTATTCAAGCCACAAAAGAAGATGAGGAAAAAATTCAATTGATGAAAGAACTTGACAAGACTAGAGAAACATTAATAAATGCGAAATCACCAAAAGAACGTTGGAATCTAGCACTTAAAGATGTAAGTTTATCAGAATATTTTACACGATGTAAAGATAATTTACCTTGTTGGCTTAAATGTGCCAAATTTAATAAAGTGGGTTGTCCTATACCGCATCGTAAACTTAAAACAAAACGACCAGTTTGTGAATGTAAATATGAAAGAAAAATACTTGAACATAGGGAACAAAAATTGAAATGGAAGGAGCGTCAAAAACGATTAAAGACTTTGAAAAAACAACCTTATATAAATGTCGCAGATATTTCAAAACCATTAGTGCCAAATACAAAATTAATGATATCAGACGTAAAAAGAATTCCAAGAGAGGATGAATATGTTGACGATATTAAATATTGTATAACTGGCGTTGCCGAAAACTATTCTTATTTACCACCTAAGCAAGTAGTAGGTGGTATTCATATGGCTACTCCTATTCAAACACCTGAACCAAGCCAACATGAAATACCATGTGTTTGTTTACATCGTCATTGGTCTCCTACAAATATTCCGCCTGGACCATTGCCAAAACCTGAAGAAATTTTACTTGCTGAAAAAAAAAAGAGACAAGAAGCCGTAAAAGAAGCATTTAGAGAAATTTACGCTCCTCAGCCAGTCTATCATACGCATGATGAGCATAGCTGCAAAGACACATGTGGTCAAAATTTTAATATAGAAAATGATGAAAATATTAGAGAAAATGAAACAAAATTTAAGCAGGATGATAATCACAATATAGCTTCCTCTTTACAAAAACCTATTGATGCTAAGAGCAAATTAACAAATATTTCTCAAAATACTAAGCATCATGTTAAATCAAATATTGATTATACTCAGGATAAAACAGAGATTAAAAATATGTCAATAAAAAAATCCTCCGAAATTAAAACAAAAAGCTCATCCAAGAAAAATAAAAATACAAATATAATAGTACAAAAAGATTTCGGAAGTAAAATAAAAATTTCGGATAATAAAGACATTAAAACTGATAAAATTGAACAAAAACGTTTAAACATTTCTCAAAAATTACAAAATAATCCTACCGAATCAAATATAGAAAATGTAAATATATCGGATAAAGAAAATGAAGAAGATTTTGATGATTCCAAAAATTACTTAATGGCCATAGTGAAGGTAAAAGATATTTTTTTGTTTATGTTTTCTATTTATTTGGATTAAATGTAGAAATTTCTGAAATTCTTAATGGTCAGATTGAATTAAAAAAAATGGCAGCAGAAGGATTTCTATTTGCAAAACTACCAAAAAGTTTTTTAATGCCACAATTGCAATATTGGTTAATGTATAGAAAAGGAATAGTTGTTACTGATAAAGAAAAGAGTAAGTCAAATTTATTTTTATATACACAATATTCGATATATAAATTATTATTTACAATGTAATATTTTTAGAGAAATTATTACGTAAGAGTATTAACTTATGGAACAAGTTAGATACAATAACCGCTAAATCTGAAGTTCGAACTCCATTATTAAAAATGACAAAAATTCAACTTAGGAATTTAACTTTCGATGATGCACAAGAAATAAAAAAAAAGGTTTTTTTAAACAATAAATACAAAAAAATTTCAATTAGATTATTATTTTAATTATACAATTATAATTTTATTCATTTATAGATTGCAATGAAAAAAGCTATGTTTTATAGTCAAGTTCGTAAAGAACGCGTTTTATATGGACGATCAATGTGGAATTCAATGGAATATGGAAAATTTCCTTCGATATCATTTAAACAAGCATATTTCACTTATATGGCTAGTAAAGAAGCTGATGGTCATGTTTTTAAACCATGGATGCCTTCCGAAATACGCGATATGAATTAAAAATATATGTCGCGTATAAGAATTCAAATATAGATAATCGATCTGAAGGTCGAATAATTTTTGACAATCGAGAAAAGCTCGAATGAAATATCGATAGTTTGGTATCAAGATTTTTAAGCCTGTTAAAATATTGTAACAAGCCAAGAAGGATGGATTTCGAAAGTCCAGATGTAGAAAAAGAATTTCCTGGATTATATGCATCAGAATCAGCTAAAAAAAGTAACGAGAGCGATTGTACGTATTATCAATAATCAAATTATCTAATTTCTTTTGCATAATAGTTATTTTAAGAAAGAGGTTATACATATTATAGAAATCATAAATCAAATTATAAATTATTTTCTCAAATATTTTCTAATTAACTATTTAAAATATTGTATTTATATTTATAAAAATAGTTAGTAATTATATTTATATATTTTATATATTATATTTATATATTTTTAGTTAGTGATGAAGGTGGACATGAGAAACATTCTAAAAAGGAACTCCTTGGTGGTAAACGAAAAGAAAAAAAAGATCGAAAAGATCGAGGATATGCCACTTTAGAAGGAGAAAGTTCACCTGATGAAGATCAGGAAACAAAGTATGTTTTTTTTATATAATTTTTTATAAGTTTTATAAGTTATAAACATTCATTTATTTAATAACTTTTATAAATTATTTTATATATATTTTTTATTTTTAAAATAAAAATTAAGTTCATATTAAATTATTTATTTTATGTTTACAATATTTTTATGTTTAATTAATATTTTTTGTAATAAAGAATATAGATATATAAATATTATCAAGTAATTTTAATTTTTATATATTGTTAGCACTGATATATTAATTACTTAACTTATTAATTTAAAATTAGTTGTATTGATTAAAATGTTTAGTAGTATCTATTAATATTTTAAAAATATTTAAAAATAGTCATTTTAAAATGGAAAATAAACTTATCACAAATATTTATGATTTTATATTGTTAATCATTTTAATTCTTATTTCTATTATGAATATATATTTTATTGTGAAAGTATTACTTCTATATATACAATAAAATATATAATAAAAAATGAATAATTATATTAAAATCTAAAAGTATATATAAAAGTTATATTTTATAATATATTAAACAAATATCTTTTCATATATTGTATACAATTATTATATTTATTACTTGAATTAGCATATGATTTAACTCACAGAAGTCCTTCAAAATCAAAAAAGACTAAAGCTTTCAAGTTTCCATCAAAGAAAGAAAAACGTGAAAAATCCAGAGAAAAAGAGGGTAAAGAAAAAGATAGTGAAAAGGAGAAAGATAAAAAGAAAAAAGATAAGGATGAAAAAGATATAGAGAAAGAAAAACGTAAAGAAAAAGACAAAGATAAAACAAAACAAAAATTTAAAGATCGTAAAAAAGGAAAACACAATGCAGAGGATGGGTTAGATATTGGAGGTAAAATGTATGATATAAAATTATTTGATAGTATTAGTATAGAATTAAATTTCTGAATAATTATCTATCTAGAGGGGCAACCAGTATTTGGTGTTAGTCTGCATTTAGCAGTGGAAAGAAGTCGTTGTCATGATGGCATTGATTTACCTTTAGTTGTGAGAGATTGCATTGACTTTATAGAAGAACATGGAATGAATATAGAAGGTCTATATAAAGTTCCAGGAGTGAAATCAAAAGTTCAGCATTTAAAAAAGTTATATAATCATAGGGAATTTGTAAATTTATTTGAATTTGAACCTACAGTAGCTACAAGTTTATTAATATTATTTCTTAGGTTTGTATATCACTATATTAAATAATATATATATATATACTAATAAATATTTTAAAATGAAATATTACAAGATTAAAGTTTTAATAATATAGGGAACTGCCAGAGCCAGTCTTAGAAAGCAGTGAAATGATATCTAGATTTGAACAAGCAGCATCTACAAAAGATGTTGCTCAAAGAGAAGCACAATTATTACATTTAACTCAGCAGCTTCCTAAATGTAATAATGTTCTTTTAGCATGGATTATATTACATTTAGATCATGTCACAATACGAGTATGTTGAAAAAATATTACCGTTTTATATATATATATACATATATATATATATATTTCTTACATAAAATATAATATTTCATATTAACATTTCAGGAAAAAACTACTAAAATGAATGCTCAAACCATTTCAATGACATTAAGTCCCGTATTACAAATGAGTCATAGATTATTATTAGCTTTATTGTTTCATTGCAAAGCTCTTTTTCCAAATGTAAAATTAACGAAATATGTGCCGCCACTTTCATCTGGTAGTATTAATCTTCCAGATTCTGTAGAAAGCATAGCAGCTGAATTATCTAAGCAAGAATCATTACTTTCGCAAATACACATGCAAATGAATGCAGGTTTTGTTACAAAATTACGCGAAGAACAATTATGGGAAGTGCAACGTATGATAACGCAATTGAAGGTTCTATTTTAATATTTATTTTTTTATTTAAAAATATCAATAAAAATTGCAAAATATAACATCAATTTTTTTCTCTTTAGAGAAAATATAAAACGGTTCAAAAGATGGAAGGTGCGCAAAAAAGTTTAGATGAAGAAGTAAAATCAAATGATGAAATTGCAGTAGAATTAAATATACAAAAAACAAAAACAGAAGAAGAAGATATAGACTATGCAAAACCGGAAACTCAATCAATATCTACATTAACATTGAAAAAGGATAGTAAAGCACATATTCTAGAAGACAATAAAGAATCAACCAATATAACCAATATAAATATTATTCAAAATGAACGAAATGCACATGATAAAGATATTGTTGATTCTACCGAGATATCTACAATTATACCACAATTTAATGAACAAGAAAATATTTCATCCGTAACAAATGAAAATGGTATGAATAATAATTAAAATCAATTCATGATATCATTACGATATCATTTTTATTACATTTATTTCAGTTTCAGCAATAGAACTTGAACATGAAAATGCTATTGACAAATTAAGAGAGAGTTTAATTTATGAAGAATTATTGAATATGCAAGCATTACTAAAATCGCGAATAAATCAAGAAAAGAACGAAATTAAACGGTTAATGGAAATGTTAATAGAACGTGGTCCTGAAAAGAAAAAACCAAAAGAACGAGCACATTCGCCGAATGAAGCAGAGATGACAGCTATGATACAATTAGTTAAAGAAAATCAGTTACTTGAGGTATTTATACAAATTTATAATTTAATCTATAAATTTTAAATTAATATTCTACTTGTATTTTTATTTTAGAAAAAAATGACTACTTTAATTCGCAGTATTATAGAAGAAAAAGATGCTTGTATAGAATTACGTGTTCAATTAGCAGTTCATCAATTAGCAGCTAAAACCTGACCATTAATTATAAAATATTTTTAATTCATTAAAAAAAACACAAATTCTGAAAATATATAACAAGATGTTTTGCACAAAATGAACATATATAGTTTATAAGATGTTATAATCATATTTTCTTGACTCATTCTATTCTCTTGTAAAATAATAAAAAATATATATTGAACATAAATATATTTAAATATGTGCTTTATACTTAATATTTTATATTAGAATTTCAATAATCCTAAGAACTTTGATAATGTTGGATTATTGAATTACATCCTTAATATAACAAAACAAAACAAAAATATGAAAAAATGATGATATATGTAATATAATAATGCAATTTGTTTACAAAAATAAATTATATAATTCGAATATGTAAAAAATAAGATAGATACGTAAAATATATATATAAAACATTAGTTATTGTTAGGATTATGTATGCTGAATTACTAGATATCAATTATTGGAATATAAAAAATTTTTGTTTATATATAATATTTATATATATATTTTATGTAGATGTATTTTATTATTATTTATATTCATTCAATATAATAATTACATTAATAACAAAACAAATAAAATATTTTACCATAGGTACATTTATGGTATGTTTTACATATTTATTTGAGACAAATATATTATTTTTACAATATTAAAACAACAAAGATACATTTATAAAATATGGATTGAACAATCTCTGCATAAAAGATTAAACATTTTTATCAACATCAAATAACGTTTATTTTTTTTTCTTTTAATTGAGTATAATATTTCTATAGATGAAAATTTTATATTGGAATGTGAAACCAAAAAATATAAAGTTATACAATGATATTTCTTTTTTATGTTAATACTGAATAATATATTATATTTTACACAATCACTTGTTATAAGTGATTATTCGCACAAAACAAAATATCTATTATTATTTTAATTACATTTTAACAATATAGAATTAATGTTAAATTATATAATTCTAATTATGTAATTCTCTACATATTTCTGTACTACACACTTAACATTATTATTCAATTAATTTATAAGTTAATTTATAAAACATATTAATTATAATTTATTAAAACATATTAATTCCAATTTTAATTTATATTTGATAAACAGAAATATTGCAATTTTATTGATTTAATATTTTTAAAAACTATATAAATATTTGATTTTTTCAATTTAATCATCAAAAAACCAGAGAATCAGACCATTTTTCCATTTTTTTCATTCACAATTCTTTTTATATAGTTTAAACAAAAAAGATTTAATTGTAAATATGAAAAAAAACTAATGACGTGAATCTCTTGGATAAAATTCCGCGAGAATATTAGTGGGAATACGTTTGAGCATCTCTTTAGGAAAAATACGTAATAACTGCCAACCAATATCCAATGATTCAAAGACTGTACGATTTTCATAACTTCCCTGAGAAATAAAGTTTTTCTCAAACTTAGAAAGAAATTCTAAATATAGCAAATCATCTGGTGTTAAAGCTTCTTCACCAACAACAGCTTTCATAGCTTGTACATCTTTTCCAATAGCATAACAAGCATACTAAAATAAGATCATTATTAAAATTATAATATTTATATAAAGTATATACATATATTTTTTAAAAATTATAAAATATAAAACATACCAATTGATTAGACACATCAGAATGATCTTTTCGTGTCCATCCTTCACCAATAGCAGACTTCATAAGTCGAGATAGTGAAGGAAGTACATTAACAGGTGGATAAATCTGTCTATTATGAAGTTGACGATCAACATAAATTTGACCCTCAGTAATATATCCAGTTAAATCAGGAATAGGATGAGTAATATCGTCGTTTGGCATAGTTAAAATTGGAATTTGGGTAATAGAACCATTACGACCTTCTACTCGGCCAGCTCGTTCATATATAGTTGCTAAATCTGTATACATATAACCAGGAAAACCACGTCGTCCTGGTACTTCTTCACGAGCAGCTGATACTTCACGAAGAGCTTCAGCATAAGAGGACATATCAGTTAGTATAACTAGAACATGTTTTTCGCATTGATAAGCCAAAAATTCAGCTGCAGTTAAAGCAAGACGTGGAGTGATAATTCTTTCAATAGTAGGATCATTAGCTAAATTTAAAAAGAGGCACACATTTTCCATAGAACCATTTTCTTCAAAATCTTGCTTAAAAAAACGAGCAGTTTCCATATTCACACCCATAGCAGCAAATACAATAGCAAAATTATCTTCATGAGAATCCAAAACTGACTTTCCAGGTAACTTTACAAGACCAGCTTGACGACAAATTTGTGCAGCAATCTATAAAGTATATATCAATTTAAATAATTGCATAATAATTGATATTTCATAATTGTATATTAATATCTTAAAATATCTTATAATTTAAATATTTAATATAGAATACCTCATTGTGTGGTAAACCAGCAGCTGAGAAAATAGGAATCTTTTGCCCACGAGCAATAGAATTCATAACATCAATAGCTGAGATACCTGTTTGAATCATTTCTTTAGGATAGATACGTGACCATGGATTAATTGGTTGTCCTTCAATGTCCAAAAAATCTTCCGCAAGAATAGGAGGACCTTTATCAATTGGTTTTCCAGATCCATTAAAAACACGGCCCAACATATCTTCAGATACAGGAGTCCGAAGAGTATCACCAGTAAATTCACAAAGAGTATTTTTTGCATCAATACCAGAAGTACCCTCAAACACTTGAACAACTGCTTTAGAACCTGATACTTCTAATACTTGACCAGATCTTGTAGATCCATCAGCAAGTTTTAATTGAACAATTTCTGCAAATTTTGGAAATTTGACTTCATCTAATATTACCAATGGTCCATTTACACCTGAGACGGTTTTATATGCTATAAAAATAAAAAAAAATTATTGATTTAAAATATAACAAAAACTTTAATTATTATTAATTATTATTAATTAATTTAATATATATTATAAAATTTTATTTGAACAAATATATATCAAATATAAGTCTATGTATAACTTTTATAATATAAAATAAAATAACTTTTATAATATTATATTATAATAAATTTTAGATTAAATTATCATATCAGTGCTGCATCTAGTCACATGATGGATGTCTATTCATATAAAAAAATTTTCAGATTTGTAATTAAATTTTATAAATATGCGAGTGTTCAAAATATTTTTATATATTAAATTTATATTTTTTTTATTTATTATGATTAAAAACAAACATATTCAGAATCAGCTGACTATGTCTAAATCGATCTGCTACGCCCAGTTTATGCCATTTAATAACATTTATATTTTAAGTTTTCTTTTTTGGATTTTAATAAATATTTATTTTAATAATACATATAAATACTTACTAAGTCGTGGCTGTGATATAAAATCTCTTGAAACAGCCAATACATGTTCTTTATTAGCTTGACGTTCTCCGATAGTTTTTGGATACATCTTGTTGATGTGCCTCTCCTAGTCTCTTAGGTCGATCAAACAGTAGGACATACTATTATACTACTTCGATGAAAAGAGATAGACTAAATATTAAGAGTGGGGATACGTTCAAATTTCAAGTTAATAAAAGTATTATATTTTTATAAATAAACAATTATAATTAATTTAATTAAATACATTATGAAAATAAAAAATATATTTATTATATATTAATTATATACTTTTTTATATTAAAAAATTATTTGATTATGTTTAAATGAATTTTATTTTGATTGATAGATATATTGAAAAACAAATGTCTGACAAAGATACAACCAATGGCACGTGCGATCACGTGGCTTATACTAAGTAATTCATTGCATATCAATTATCAAAATTTTTTATAAAATTACTTATTATAATTAAATGTATTATAAAAAAAAAATTAAAAATTATTCATAAAAGAATATTCATGAAATTATAATATTTTTATTATATATACAAACTTTATTTAGATTGTTATTTGTTTTTTATAATAGCGGTTTATTTAATTGTAAACATTTAATTTTAATAATAATTATAATGACTAATAACTTATATATTAGAAATATTAAAAAATTTCTAATACACTTTTATTATTTATTTAAATCTTAAATTATTCATTTATTTCTTTATTTGTAAAATAAATAAAATTAAAAATTTTTTTTTAATAGAACATTAAAAACTCGAAATCTAACTGAAAAATGATTATGATTCATATTTTAGATTTGATATACAAAATATAGTATCCATTTTTAATAATCTTGAAAAATAAAATGTAAAATTTTTGTAAAATTTTTAGTTTTGATTCATTTATAATACCATTTTTATAGATACCATAGTTACGGACCTGATAGCGATTATTTCGCGCCGAGAAGGCGCGAGTGTGCAGTGAGATATGGTGGCAGGTGGTTCAAGAATATATATGTGGATATAAAAATCTTAATTCATAAAACTATTATTTTGAATTTCTTAATTTATTTTTTAAAATTTCGAATCTTTTGTATTTTGTACAATTTATTTATAAAATAATTCTTATCATTTCAAACGATATTGTGTATTCGTGTTTCACTGACAGAAAAATATTGGACTATGGCGGCTCTTAAACGAATACTCAATT